ATCTTGAAAAGGGCTTTGCCACGAACTGCTTCAAAAGGTCCTCAGGATGGCCATTTCAGTTCAAACTCCGTATAAACATTCATAAATATAAACATTCACAAACATAAACAAATATGGAACATTCCCTGAACTATGCATGCGCAGCCATGCATCCCAAATACAAAAAAAAAAACTGCACCCGACATCAGCGTAGACAAGAATCTATGAAGATGGACTTGAACTGCTAACTCCTCAGCTTTGAGAACTCGAACTCTCTTTAAAAAAAGAAACACACAAAAAGCTCAAACGCCAAAGCGCGTCACGAATGCGCTGTGCGCAACATCTCATACGCCCCGCATTGTTGACGATTCCTGCGCGCGCCGCGCTCGCCGCAGCCGGCGGATGCCCGCGGTAGACCGCTGCTCCCGCGGCTGGCCCGTGCCCTTGCCGGGGGCGCACCGCGCGCAGCCCGCCCGACCACCGCCGACAGCGGGGTAAATAACGCAGCGAGGCCGCCTGACCTTGCATCGCTGGCCTGGCGGCGGCAGGGGCGAGGGCGCCGTCACCGCCACCGCCGCCGCCTCCCACCGACGCAGGGGGACGACGGGCGCTGCGCGCGGCCCACGTCCCGCCGGCGATCGCCGCCAGCCGTGGCCGGCCGGCTGGCGGCGATCCCTATCAGCTCCGAGCCGCCGCCGCCGCCGCCGCCGCCGCCGCCGCCGCCGCCATCTTGATCGCGATGCCGGCGGCGGCCGGCGGCGGGTGGCCGGCCGGCACGGCAGGCGTTTCCGCCGGACGCGAGATACACGCACGGTCCACGGGGTTTCCTCCGTTCTCACTCACGCCGGCTGCGGGGTGGGCCTTGCATAGGTTCTGTGGTGTTGCGACTGATTCGGATCAGTTCACAGGCGCCGTGACAGCCCCTGCAAGCATCCCTTCCTTCGGCGCAGTCCTGTCTGCTGACGAGGACTGTGTCCCGCGCTCGCTGAGACAAGCGGTTTGCGGCCGCGCGGCGGCGTCGGCTAGGTGAGGACATGCCCGTCCGGAACAAACACGGATTACCTGCAGAGCAAACACGGCGTCGGCGGGCGGATTACCGACAAACGGGTTCGACCAGCCCCTGGCCGTGAGGTGTCGCCGCCGCAGCGACCGGCGCCGCAGGAGCGGCGGCGCACACAGCACCAAACGGCCGGCGCCGGGGCCTGCGCGCCTCGCGCCGCGCTCTGGGTACCGCGCTCTGGGTATCGGGCTCTGGGTACCGGGCTCTGGGTACCGGGCTCTGGGTACCGGGCTCTGGGTACCGGGCTCTGGGCACCGGGCTGGGTACCGGGCTCTGGGTACCGGGCTCTGGGTACCGGGCTCTGGGTACCGGGTTGTGGGTACCGGGTTTGGGTACCGCGCCCTGGGTACCGGATTCTGGGCACCGGGCTCTGAGTGCCGCGTACTGGGTAACGGGCTTTGGGTACCGGACTCTGGGTACCGGGCTATGCGTACCGGGCTCTGGGTACCGGGCTCTGGGTACTGAGTGTTCGATACTGGACAACGGATGCTGGACACTGGGCACCAGCTTCTCGATACTGAGCGCCGGGTACTGAACGCCGAGCAGTGGGCAGTGGACAATGGACGCCGGGCACTGGACACCACGAACACTGGACACCGTACGGATTACACGCTTGATGCGGGGCTTAAAGCACCGGCCTGCAGGCTCCTGAAAGAGGACAGCTAGTTTGGGACATTTCATTCTGGTCAATAGGCTCTGTACGCTAGTCAGGCTGGACTAGTACATTGACCCGACCTGGCTATGAAGTCTCTTACCAAACACAGGGCCATGATGACGTTATTGACAGTAGTTCCAAACACTTGATCTACATTGTCCCAACTCGCTTCAGTCAAGTGTGCTGCACCTGCTAAGTCCCCCCCCCCACCCCAGCTTCCCACAAGCTTGCCTATTTATAGATTTTGCTGTCAGCATCTCTTTCCCTGACAGCCTGATATGGTCGACATGTACAAGTTGTAGTTTTCTTAGTAACACGCATGGGAAATTTTGCGGGTGAAGTTCCCAGGACCTGCAGCGGTACCTGAATAGATATTTTCTTTCTGTGATTACTTTTTTTACGTGACATGTAACACTTTCGGGCTAAATCATAAATATGGTTTAATTTGTGTGAAACATGCGACACAAAATCTTGGTATGAGTTCGTGTCATATTTGTTTCAGAAACTGATATATTTATTTCCTGTAGTCATTCAATAGCATACCTCAAGATAACAGCGCCAGGTTAAACAGAATTTGTGCGCATGTAGGTGTAGTCTTGTTTGAAAATTAGCCAATCAAATCATGAACTTTCGAAGATGACGTCCTTGGCTTAGCAGCACTTGACTTGTAACGCAGACACGTCTTCGGAGCTAACATTACATTCTGGGGAAATCACGCGATGCTTGTGAAGAGGGTGCAGGAAATAGCTTCCATGACTGTAGAAGTGCGCGTACCTAGCTAGCTTGCGGGTGATGGAACTGAAGGGGCTGAACTGGCAAATGACTAAAGTGAACTCGCAAATTATTCCAGTAGTTTTTATATTCCTGGTGCACAGATTACATCGCTGCTCAGATCGAAGCCAGGAAGTATTGCGTGACAACTGTTACCCAAACGTTCCACCACACACTTGCCAACAGCGCATCGTCAGCCCACAAAAGTATGGTCTTCAAAGGAGACCTATATATATATAACCATGTTTATGTCATCTTTCCAGCATGCCGTGCACATTGTATTAATGTTAAAGGGCATCAACAGCGTTATAAATCTAGCTCATTGTCTGTTATCTGCATGATCGTCTCCTTTGGAGGCAGTGCTGAAAATGACATTTCTGTGTAAACCGTGAGAAGATCAACAGTTTTCCTGATCATGTGCCGCTTTGAGCAGGTCTTTCCCGACAGTTGTCTTGGAGGCTTAGTCACGCGGCGGACTGCTGCACACGGATGTTTGTCGCTCGTTTCGAAGGGCAAATTTCCGGCTCGTTATGAGTGGTGTTATCCCGGGCAATTCTAAATCGTCAAACAGGAAGCTTTGCGGCGTATCTGAGCGGCGCATGGTCAAAATGGGAGCATCTTTTGAGGTCAGTGCGCGTCTTTGAGCCGCGGTTATGTTCAAACGATCTTGAGTGAGCAAAACTTTGAATAGCTGAGTAAATGATGAAGGACTCAAAAGGGACGTAATAAAGCCAAACAAGGCTCTGGTCTGCAGAGCCTCGTTTATTGAATTTTGCGAATCATATCAACTTCAATGGATGCCACGCAAATCGTTGGATCAAATGATATCAGATGCTTCGCATCACACTGACGCTCCGTCGCTGCAGTGCAATGCCTCGGGGTGTTTTCCCATGGTGAGCTTTTACACATATTTAAAGAGATGACAATATACGGTAGCGACCATTATTATCACGGC